AAAACGCTCCAGAGAAAGAGTCAAAAATTGGTCTGAAAAATTTTTGACCAGTTTTTGACAGTTTCTTGGCTCAGGAAGTCTCGCCAAGAGTCGGGACCGTGCGGAATCGATTCTATGCCTCCAAATACGTAGGATGTGACTCAAATCTCGAAATTTTTTCTCAGTCCAAAAACGAGAAAAATCGACATTTGGGTTACATCGCCTAAATCTTTCGGGTCAAAGGCGAAAGTTCGCGGATCGGGCCGAAACCAGGCAAGCTCGCTTGGAATTGACCCGCTGAGTGCGATTTTCCAGTCGGAAAAGCTCCACGAGTACCTCGCTTAGAGTTATCCGCTTAAAACGCTCTAGAGAACGAGTCAAAAAGTGGACAGAAAAGCTCGTTTTTGACCAGATCTTGACCGTTTCTCGGCTTCGGAAGTCTCGCCGAGAGTCGGAACTGTGCGGAATCGAGTCTACGCCTCCAACTACGTATGATCCGACTGTAATCTTGAAATTTTTTTCTCAGTCCAAAATCGAGAAAAATTGACATGGGTTCCATGGACTAAATTTTTCGGGTCAAAATCGAAAGGTCGCCCATCGGGCCAAAACCAAGTAAGCTCGCTTGGAATTGACCCGCGGAGTGGGATTTCCTAGTCGGTTCCAGAGGGGGGACGGAAAAAGCTATTTTTGTATCAAGCTCTTTTAGTCCATGAAATCCCAGTCGATTTTTCCCGATTCATTCCGATGAAAGAAAATAATCCGAGATTAGTATCAAATCCCATGTAGGTACTTGGAGGCGTAGAATCGATTCCGCGTGGTCCCGAGGCTCGCCGGAGCTTCCTGAACCGAGAAACAGTAAAAAACTAGTGTTAATTTCTTGACGTTTGGGGCATGGTCGAATATCCGCGGTTATCCGCGATTGTCAAGTCTGATCGACTCGTGAAGCATTTTGGACCGGAAATTCGGACTCCTCGACTCATTTTATGGGGGACGAGCTTCATATCAGCCCGATCTGAGAACTTTCGATTTTGACCCGAAAAGTAAAACCTGCATGGTTACCCGACTAACACAAAATTTCAACAACGAAGCTGCTGAGAGTAAGGTAAGTCTCTAAAGTATAAGAAATCTAAGTAGTCCTTGAACAATGAACTTTTTTATAGGTTTGTAGAATCTTTTGGGATTTTGCAGTGCTTCCGCAGGGCCTGATTCATACCCACTTGCCGCCCGTGGACCACCCCCTTTTCATTCGTTTTGAAATATCAATACAAACCATCAAGTGAACAAGCCGGCCAGTAGGAGGGGTGCATAAGACGTGTTTATTCGTGTTGGGCACATTTTTTTGCGAAAGCCCTGTCAACACTAGCCAAAGTTTACGGAACATAGCGCGAAAGTTAAGTTCCGTAAACCTACCTCCGTGTGGTCCAGGCCTTTCATTTATGAGAAATGAACGAAAAAATTATGAAAGAATAAATATGAATGTGGTTTAATAATTTTAATTTCCGCCACCGCGCTAACCGCACTGTTTCTGACGAAATGCATTAAGTATTCATGTAGTCTTGTAGGCACTATGAGTCTCACGCCAACCGCTGCTGACCGCACTGCGTTTGACGCAATGCGTAAAGTATTCGGGGAGTCTTGTAGGCGCTAAATGTGTTTCATGCTGACTGGCGCGGCGCGCGAAGGGCTTCTAATTTTCAACTCAAATCCTCGTCATCATTGCTCTTTGCGCCGCGCCGCTCCAGGCCAAACTGCGTGTTTGGTTTCTCTCTCAACTATACCAATGAAAGGCGCTGTCTCTTGTATCGCTGAAAGACGAACAAATTCAACGAAAAAATTCATTACTATATGTATAATTTAACTCTCAGGAAATGAGAGATTTTGTCGCCTTTTCTCGTTTTTAATTTTTTTTCTGAATCCGTTATTTTTTTATATCTAAATTTGAAAATTTGCAAAATTTGCCGCCATGGGCCGCGGCCCATGTGATCACCCCCTAAATCCGGCCCTGGATTAGGGGCTGGGGAGGAACATTTTGACGATGAAACTCCTAAGCCACGTACGTCGTTTGCGGTATTCAAAAATCTCCGCTCCCATTTTACTTTTTGGCGAAGAGCAAAGCAATTTCATTCCTTGGATTTTCCACACAGTTTTCTTCACGCAGACGAAAAATCCCGGGGTTTTAAAAAATTGACGTTGAATGGTTTTCATGATAAAATAATGTATGACAGGAAGTCTGCAACGTTGCAAACTGAGATACGTGGCCTCGTAGTTTCACCGTCTATTTGGGTTCATTACTACGCAGATCGATGTTAATGTCAACCTGCGATAACTATGAGAAATGAACAAATTTTCACTTTGTGTGCGTCGTTTTTCCATCTTTTTAATCCATGGAATCGAAAAAAAAAAAACATTTACCATCCAATTTTCGTTGTTACAGAGAGGTTACTTGTTGGCAGCCCCTGTTTTGCCGTTACGCATAAAATCAACCACGTTTAAAAGAGATACATCTAGTCGCTTTCAGTTTGAACCAGGTTTCAGGTTTGAAGTTTCATTTATTCATAAAACTTGGGTAATGTTAAATGTGAAGTTTAACGTGCTTTCAGGCTTAAAAATGTTTTCTCGACTTTGAATTTTAGCCAGGACACGATGTAAGACTATTTGTATTAAAATGCGGCGTAGAGAACGCTCATGTAACCCGGTAATTATCGTAATTATTATCGCACGGTAGCTGGCGCATTTGTAATCAGCCGCCGATTGTGACAACTATCCTATTTTTTCCCGATCATAATCGATGGTTATCTCTCGAAAGAAAGCGCTTGATCTTTTACCGTGGACCCTTAAACGCCGTCGTTGGGGGATGGAGGCTTACAAGGGCTGCTTGTAAAGTTGTCCAGCTCACCGTTAGAGTGCTGCACTTCACGCGGAGCAAGTCAGCTCCTCCCACGGGTGATTTTAGTTCCTGCTTCTTCCAATAGATGCCAACTCACGTTAGCAAATACCGAGTCAGTCACTTTCTTGGTTTACAGTGTCCTAATCCGACCGTCTTGTTGAGCTGACTTCCCCCTTTCCTTTTCTTGAATTCTTCGTAGTTTACTTAAAATATTGCACTCTTGATTCTCCAGTTGATATTCAACAATAAAACAAAAAAAATCGTCCGCAGGTTTTATAATTTTCTAAGAAAAGTTGGGTGGTTTTGAGACCCATGTCGCAGAAATTTAGGGAGGGAAGTTGATAAAATTATGTGAGACCCTCCAAAAAAAAAAAAAAAAAAAAAAAAAAAAAAAAAAAAAAAAATGAGGGGTCAAAGAGTGGTTTACCAAAACATAAACTACGTTTCAGATTAATATAACGTGAATGAATGTTTTGAACCAATACATTCATCAGTGAATATCTCATTTAAAAGAGACGTAGCTTTTGGAATCACAAGACGTCATTCCACAATCACGTGGAATGACGTCTTTACGGTCGAACTGTTGAATTCAAGGCCGGATTTAGGGAATGGCCACATGGGCCGCGGCCCATGGCGGCATATTTTGCAATTTTTTTAAAGGTAGTTATATGAAAAGTAAAAATGGATTCAGAAAAAAAATTAAAAATGAGAAAAGGCGGCAGAACTTCTCATTTCCCGAGAGCAGAAGTATAGTAATTTCTAATTTTGTCATCCTCCGGTGATAAAAGAGACAGGAACTTTCATTAGTCGAGTTAAGAGATAAACCATACCCGCATTTCGGCCTGCAGTGGCGTTGCAGAGAGCAATGGTGACGAGGACTTGATGAGACGAAAAGGAGATGCCAACTGCGGTTGGCATGAAACACATACTAGCGCCTACAAGACTGCATGAATACCTCACGCATTGCATCAAACACAAAGCGGTCAGCAGCGGTCGGCGGCGTGAGACGCACAGCGCCTGCAAGACTGCATGAATACTTCACGCATTGCGTCAGACACAGTGCGGTCGACGGGGCGGCGGAACTTAACTTTCGCACAAAGTTCCATGAACTTTTTCTGGTGTCAACAGGGCTTGCATAAGAAATGTGCCCAACACGAGTAAACGCATCTAATGCACAGGCCCCCTTCGGCACGTCGACCTGATGGTTTTTATTGATGTTTCAAAACTAATGAGAAGGGGGAGGGAAAATACAGGCGGCCCATGGTCGGCAATTAGGTAAATTCGACCCTGCTGTTGATTCATAAAATATAAATGAAGTTCAATAATTATTTGGCATAAGTTTGAGTGATACTTATGAGGGAATACTAAAAGATTTGGTACACTTAAAATTTGTTTTTTTACACTAACGGGCGTGCAATCTTTGTTAACCAAAGAATCAATCACTAGTGATTTTTTTTTCTTCTTTTTTTTAGCGACAAAAATCTCAATTCCAGGATTTTGCAAAGACCTTTGACTGCAGTTTTTTTTTTATCGAATCGGCTTTCTGCACATTTCAGGTCGACCCTTTTACCTTTGAATTGTATACCAAATATATGAGCTATGAAATATCTGAAACTCTGTTGCATGTGTAAATAGTTGTATTGTTGCAACTTACCATTTACCGACCGCACTTTTCTTAGAACCATCAATTAGAACGTACTGGCAACGCTACAACGTCATAAATGAAGAGTTGGAAAGCTACAGGACATCGCAATTTCAGTTTTTGCCAAATATTATTTTTCTTAGTGTTGAATTTGGTCTACTCCTGTTCTGCCCATGCTGAGGAAGGACGCCGAATGAACTTTCAGACAATGCCAGATTTCATTCGACAAAACACAGATTTTCGGGAAAATGTATGGATATATTATCCTCCCCCCCCCCTCATTTGTCTAAGAATTGTATTCGTAATTTTATCTAAAGTCCCAAAGAAAATCGATACATTTCTTTTAAAATGAATATTTTCTGAGAGGATATTTGCCTAAGCTTCGGATCCTCTTGCGGCGTTTTTCCATAGCACGGCAGTGTGAATTTGCGTGAGGTATACCATAATTTCATTTGAATGATGCTTCGGGTGAGTAAGGCAGGACGAAAGCAATTGACGAAGAAGAAAAAACACGGATGTAATGTTAAAACACACATGACGGGAAAAGACCTAACCAAACCAAAAAGAACTGAAAGTCTGGAGTAATGAAAGCGGTCTCGCTGGTGCTGCCCGACGACGACTCGGCGAACTTGTACTCGGGGAGGGTGTCAAGCGAGGTTTAGGGGGCTCGTTTTTTCGCGTTGTCGTGCACGGCGTGTATTTTACCTCTAAATCGTCCACCTTGACTGAGCCCCTCGTCGTGCCTTCTCCATATTGTGAACTGATATCAATCTGGAACATTCAACGCAATTTGTGGGCTATTAAAAACTGCTAGTAGACTTAACACTTAACAGTTATGATGAAAATGATAGCTGGAAATGAAAGAAAAGTATAAATGGTATGCGCTCCAACCCTCAAATGCCGCTTCACGTCCTTAAATGCCACTCAGTTGTATCTGATCAGTTGCATCTGATCAGTTGCACCTGGGCGTTACATTGGAGTTACATCAGGATCAGTGGACTGCATTTTACAATTTGGAACTATAAATTCTGGCTCTTCTGGAAAAACGCTTACATGCATGGGGGAACTAATGGCGCACACGTTATTTTTGAACCGGGCTAGAATTTATAGTTCCAAATTGCAAAATGTAGTCCAGATGTGGTTGCATACGATGCCGAGGGAGTTTAGCTTGTGTCTATCATGTATCAACTTAATCTCAGTGTTGCCTATCGTGCCAACAAAATAAACTATCACTGATTTTTATCGCGACATTGTCAATTTTACGGAAAATACTTTGATTGTGTAAATTTTTACATCGTTGATGATCTCCTGGACGTTTGTTGATATCATACCTGTTTCAAAACACTCTTTTTGAACTTATTGTTTCATGCTGGCATCAACATGACGTATACCTAAGTCTGAAATCACAGATATTCAAGAAAGAATATGATATATAAGGCAGGAGTTTTTTTTTTTTTTTTCTGGAAGTGAGCTTGAAACTTCTTACCATGAAAGGTTTTGTCACGTCAATGGGAATAAGCGTCTTATACCATTGGTTGCCGGTAGGATCTGATGTGGACCAAAGTTCTTTTGCTTCTTTCGGTTCATATAGACGTGCATATGGAGAGTCTACAGACGTTTGCATAAACTGTTAAAGAAAGCAAAACGCGTCATTAGTTTTGATCAAAGAAGGTAACGCTGTTTGAGAAGCATTATTAAAGGTATTATAGAGGCAAACCCTCTGCTTGATTTCAATAAAATATAAGCCCAAAGAGGGGGAAACGTGCAGATGTATAAAAATGGGGAAAATGCGATTGCACTTACGACATTTAGTAATGACGCGTCATACCGTTATTAAAAATAACTTATATATTATCTCACCTTTAATGTAGCTTTTCCATCAGTTGAAATAGCGTAGGAGAAACTTAAGCAACCTTTGGGTCCTCTCTCTTCGTCAAGAGGGCTTAAACCATGGAAGTTAACGGACCAGGTTCGAAGATCATGATTTTCAGCTGAGCCATAATCAGTGAAGAGGTATCCTCCGTCGGACGAAATATATGAATAAAGCCCTAAAAATGAAAAGAAATAAAATAATGAATAAAAAAATCAACTAAGAAAGGAGAAGATTGAATCCATCGAGTATCTTGTACTACTTTCTAGCTTAAAGCTTGACTTTCAGATTTAATGCACCTATCACATGCGTTTCAAATTTTGATTAGGTAAATATCAAAGTAACACGGGTAGGAAACAAGTATTGAGTTTATAGGCGATTTTCGTTTTAATAATAAGTAAACTAAGGACATGCTAAGAAAACAGTGTACAAAAGAGTGCAGTGTTTAAATTAACGTTCTCCTCCACACTGTTTTTAAAAGGATGCACCGAGTTTAATTATTATCAAAAAGAAAATCGGCTCAAAGCTGAATATTTGTCTCTTTCATTATGAATAGGCAATAACTCAAGTATTTTGTAACACGAGAATGTACCCACGGAATTTTTTTCTGATTTTTTTATCGAACATCAGATGTTAACTTTTCAAAATGTCAAAAAAATCTTGGTTTTTCCCCCAAATGATCTTTTGAGAGAAGTGCCTAATTGATGAGAAATGATCAAATGAAGGTTCCGACTCACCCGAAGGTTTTGCAACCCATTGCCATCGACCATCCTTAGTTCCATCGATACCTTTAAAACCACAGAAATTATCATCGAAAGTACAATTTATGTCGACCGGGAATCTCGGTTTTTGGTTCGCCCCTGAAAATGTACAAGTATCGTATTTTAGTAACCGCTTTGCTGAACCACAGACAAGTATTAAGAACTAAAAGTATCGTGTTTTTCATACAAGTTTATAATACAGTAGAGACGTGTATTGCATTTTACCAACTCTCATTCGTAAGGCAATGTATATAGGTTTATGATTTACACTAACCGATTCCCCATTCTCTTTGTCTCATGAAAAAGTCAAAGTATCTGATTCAGATTGAACTCATATCTTTAGCAAATTAATTATACTCCGGTCACAATTTTCAAAACAGCCATCTCGTCTCCGATGACGGGTTTTTTTCATCTCAGTGCAGAGAAAAATCATGGACCCCAAAGGCGCAATAATTAAGTAATGAAAAATCAAATCAAAAGGAACTACGTACGAGAAAATAGCTTGCATGATCATTTGTGTAATCTACTTTGCGTAGAGTACGAAAGTTTTGCTTTAAACTACAACTGTGCGCACTATTGGCACAAAACAAGTGTAATTAAATTATTCGCAGCTTATGTTTCGGACACCAGAGAGTTTCAATCTAGGACTCACATTACAATTATTTTTTCAATTCAGCAAAAATCCCATTTCTATTAGTTTATTACTTGAAAGTATTATGGTCTTCTTTCCCGTGAATGGTCATACATTCAATAACGCGTCATAAAAATACAGCATGTTGAAAATTACCGGTTACTTTAGGATGTATTTAAAATGTTTACGTTCAAACTTATCGCGAGAAATATTCTGCTTGTATCGTCAAAACCAGGATTAAAATATCAGAACTTGGAGCACAGAACCATTACAATAAAAATATGGAAGTAATTTACCTTTGCACCTATATAATTTATTTATTTTCTTGATGTCAAGGCTACTTAAACCGTTTTTTAGCCAGATTGGTTTGAGGTGCACGTTATTTTTAGCTCTCAATGTTTGGGACCTGCCATCCTGCAAAGAATAGATGAGAATTGCTTTTACTACCTCATTAAGTGGAACTATACCTGCTCAACATTTTTTAGAGTATCACTGGACAGAGTAAGAATTACAGGATCACAGGACGTATTTTCTCATCAAAATTTCATCAAAAACTCGTTGAACTAATTGAAAATTCATATGAATTCATGAATGAGAGAATACGCGCGTCTGTACTTTCAACTCAAACATCAGTGTGGAACTTTAAACTTCCCGCTACCAAATTAACGTAGATCACATCGACAATAGAAAATATCTTAATATTACACGGGAATACTTAGACTTTAAAGGAAATCAATGAATGCATCGTATTTAGACCGCAGTCATAAAAGCATCTTCAATGAATATATAGTAGCTGTATTTGATCTTAATGGGTCTCTTCGCATGCCGCGTAATAAACATGATTTGGTTATTCCAACCTATTTAACCCTTTGTTGCATGAGCTAATCGTTGATTTTGGAGAGAAAATCTACTTTGTACAGTATTTTTTAGACACTAGAGTAGGTTGGAATCGATTTTTATGGTTTTTTCTAAGCAAGGAGATCAGACATATAATGTTTCCCAAAAATTATTTCTTGCTTTGATTCAATTTAATACTCCAGAATAGGAATAAAGCTGAAAACCATTTGTTGCTTTCATGCAACGCTATGCAATAAAGGGTTAAGTTTTTCTCTATAGTAAGTAACTGGAATTTTAAGTAAATTGCTAATTTTGTCTCCCATAATAATTCAATGAGTATACGTTAGTTAAGCTCGGGAGGGATTTGCCTGCAATTAGTCGAATCTTACAGTTTTCGGTACGAGAAGAACGATGCGCATGTTAAAATTTCACGAAAAATTGTCTCCGCGGAGAAATGACGCTTCCTTTTTAGGGGTCTTCGAAAACGTGTTTGAACCGACCGCCGCGCCGTGAATCTCCTTATGTACGCGTCATAGAACGGGAAGATGGCGGCGCCGAAGCCGACCTGCTTACTACCGCCACGCTGCCGATGTTGACATCACGATTTCTCGTTTGAGTTTAAGTAAGTTCTGTGTGAATGTTTCATATCCTACATACACCTGTATCACATTCTGATTGAAAAGCTTTGAGAATTAAGAACAATGTATATGTATCTCAAACAAAGTGACCCACATAACCTCCAATTGGCCAACAAAAACATACCGCCAACGCGACGCCGCCGTGTATTCTTCCACTACGCATCCCGCCGCCATATTGATCGTGACGTGTACATGCGGAAACCTACGAGCGCGCAGTTCAAACGCCGTTTTAAGCCACCCTAATTTTTGGCACTTTCAAATAAACTTTTCTCCCGTTTGCAGTCATCAAAAAAATTTAGGAAAAAAACTGTAAGCTTCGGTCACTTACTACTTTTGAATGACACAATAAAAAAAAGTGACCTAACCGACAAGGAATTTCACAGTCTCAAGACGCTCCGTAGCTTTGTGAGATATTTCCCAAGATTGCTTACTTTTGTGGAGGAGCATCCTTTTTGTGGCCGTAATGCATATTCATGATCAACGGTCTTTCGAGGAATAACTTATTTTCTAATTTTTGGTTGAGTAAAACTAGTATACTTGATGGTGTGCTTTTTCATAGAGACGCAACGTGAAAACATTAAAACCACAGTTAATACCACAACGTACGTATACTAATGGTTTAATGTGCCGCAAGAAATAGAAAAGTATCATTTATTTAAATAATGAAAAAAATNGCCAAAGGCAACCCGGACGACCGCCCAAGAGATGGGCACAGAGCTGCCTTTCATCCCCGGAGAATTAAGTGATCTCTCTCATCGGCATCATATTACTGTTTTAGAGGCTAGACAAACAGGGTCACGGCCCTAGTCAGAAGGCAGAAGAAGAAGAAGAAGAAGAAAATCACAAAAAAAGTCCAAAGAATTTTATGTAAGGAGACGTGTTATTTAAATGACTCGTATGTCGGTGGCTACGGTAGAAAACCATTTATCTCAATCATGTTGTTTCAAAATCCATGCTTCAATTTTATTTTTTCAAAGAAAAACAAGTCACCTATACCTATTTGTTTCAACTTTAAATTTAAGGAAGTTTTCAAGAAATTAAGTTGATTAATTTTCAAAGAAAAATAATTTGACATCAGGAAGTCTGCAACGTCGCAAACGGAGATAAAAGGTTTCGCACTTTGGTCATCGATATGCCATGTTAAAAGCTAAATCGTCCCTTGTGGTTGGAGGCAATTCTACTAATATATCAGAATTATTTATGCATATTGTTTAATGTCTGAGTGACAGTTACCTATTGCGTGAGTGTTCATCAAGTGTCTTCTTACCTTAGAAAATCCATACTCATCATACATCATAATAGAATTGAAATCCAACGGCTCTTCAAGAAGGTTCGTTGTGTAAGGACTAGCCTTCGTAAACGCATGGTACATGTTCTGAAAAAATCAAATATTTTTCACTTTCGCAAATGTTAGAAATCGCAGATACAGAGAAACAAAAGGAATTCAAAAACAAAAGAGTTCTAAAAATGCCTTGTCAGGCAGAATCAGATTAATTCGATCAAAATACTGAGTTTCTCGTCAGCAACTTGGCCGTAGAGTAGTATATACATCGTGTGCTTTGCCTGTGCTCCATTAAGAAATGGATCGCATTTTGCAGAAAGGAACCACTATCTCTGGCTCTTCCGTGAAAGCACCTTTCTACATCGGGAAATCAATGGCATGTATGTTATTTCTAAAATGAGCCAGAAGTAGTGGTTCCTTATTGCAAAATTTTATCCAAATTAGCTTACGGGTTTTTCTATGGAGAAAATATATCGACGGTGTAAGTCCGCAACCACGTACCTCGGTTTGATACATGCCGACTCCTTATCATACTTCATTTTTTAAATGAGAAACTATACGCAACGGCAATTATTAGAAACTGCTGTGGTTTTTCTGCTCTATGCGAGGCAAATTCAGCGATAAATTCAAGGAATTCTGTCGATTTGTTCTCCTTTTGACAAAAAAATAGGAGTGGATATTTTCAAACACCGCCAACGAGATACGCGATTGCGGACTTACACCGTCGGTATACTAAGTTATAGAATAGATATAGACGGTAAAACTACTAGACCACGTATCTCGTTTCTGGTGTTTAAAAATCACCGTTCCCATTTCATTTTTTTGACGGAGAACAAATCAATTTTATTCCTCGAGGTTTTCGCAGAGTTTTCTTCGCTTTTAGAAGAAAAATCACGGAAGTTTTTAAGAACTAACGTTGAGTGATTTTCCATGTATAAAATAAAGTATGACAGGAAGTCTACAACGCCGCAAACCGAAATACATGTTTTGGTAGTTTCACCGTCGATATGTATACCTTACGTTGGCAAAATCACTAATAAGACTACGCAACAATATTTCTTCCTTTACAATCGGCAAAACTGTAAACCGCTATAGTTAAATTTTGAAGTACCTAACGAAAGTTTTTGTTGTTTATATTTGTATCCAGCCTTTAATTTGTTCAATCAAAATCACATATTTTTGAGCGCTCTGTCTTTCAGAGTCCACATAGCAGATTCCGTCCCTATCTATTTCCTCATCTCCCTTCCCAAATAGTAGAATAATAAAATAAACTTTTATTAAAGCTAAATATACTTTTCAACAAAAACTTTTTATCACCAGCGTAAAGCTAGCCATAATACAAACATTATTGGGAATACTCATATTTCTTCATCAGTTTTAAGAGGAATGAAATACCCGCTCTCGAGGTCATAACCAAGTAATTGAGACAGACGAACTTAATTTGAATCCAGAACCTGTTGATTCTACAGCCACAGCTAAATCTTTTACGATATTTGATGTCATTCGTAACCCCCTTCTCCATCCTTCTCCATTCCACTTTTCTCCCTTTTACGCGCTCCTATTTTGATTCTTCTTTCTTTCCTCCTTGCTTGATTTTTTTTATTTTTTCGGTGCATTGATGATGTACTTGGGTATGAATAGAGTACCTGTATTCGGGAGAGTATTGCCATCTCAATCCTTTTACTACAGAAAAAGCGTGCCGCTCTCTGATTGGTCGACTATCATGGAACTCCAAAGTACCAATGTAAACAAACCCCAGCCTCTCCGCTCCTACTTTGGCCCAATGGAAACAAACAAGATAGCGAAAAAGTTCTACGAAGTTCTAGACGTGATTTTGGGTGTGATAGAATTTCTTTTATATCCAACTTCTAAACTGAGTTCGGATCGAACTTTGATGAATATTTTTGCCGAAAATTGAGCTTTGAGTGTGAGTTTCATTCATTTCTCAGCCGATAATACGTGTTCCTCTGGGTAGAGTTTGTTTACACTGGTCCAACTTTGACGCTCCGCGATAGCCTACAACTACCAAACAGAGAGCGGCACAGAGATGGCAATACTCTCACGTATACAGGTACTCCGCTTACTCCAGGTATAACATGAAAATTAAGATCAAAAATACATATACAGAGGGAAAACTGCACAACAAAATTCCAATATTACGAAAGATTGAGTTGTACCACAAAAATGTGTGATGACTCGCATGGTAGTGTTTCACTTTCCTCCGTATGCAAGACATTTTTTCACCCGAGAGTACATGTATTTTTTTTGCTCTCCTTCCCAATCGTCTATGTCTATCTCATAAAATCTAGATTGAAATGCATGCTGAAAAATTTCTAATTGTTCCTTTCCTAGAAATATTTTCCATGAGAAGAAAAACAAGGTTGTGATTCATAGCACAAGCACTCGTTTTACTTTATCTCGGAACAGCTATCTCGGGACGCGTGCGTGTTCAGCATTAACCGTGTTCCTAGCGCAATTTCCAATTATTTCAGTTTAATACAAAAATCGCAATTTTTTTTTTTTTTTTGTAATAGTCTTGATAGCAAGTTTATTTTAATATTACTGTGTATTCTATATTATATTTTATCAATCAATTTAGTTAATTTATTTTTTTAATTCATCCCTTTTTTATGCGTATATGTACTATGAATTGTGACTAGACGTTCTTCGTTCATGTTTATGCAGGTGCGGGTTTTTTTTTTTATGTTCCATCGGCACAATATGGAGTCGATGTGCCTTTCTGGTTGAAATAAAATCTGACAACATTTCTCACAGGCATGATATTTTCCCAGAAAATCCAAAGCCAGTTATCCCTGTCTGGGCGATTTTGTTCATCAGTGAAACTTAGAGCGTGACCCATTTCATGGATGACGATTCCCTCCAGCCAGCAATCCTTACCAAGAGACATTTTCTGAATGCCACCTATTCGACCGAGTGTTGAATAGCAGGCAGCACTGGAAAGGAAAGATACTGTTATATCATTTTTGAATACTCTAATCGTCAATAATCGCATAGAAACGGAATAAAACCTGCGTCAAAATCCGTTTTCTCCGAGTTGTAAAAAATTCAAACTCTCCTCATTTCACTTTCTTCAATTTTGTGAATTTCATTGATTATTTTTGAAAGTATGAAACTTGGATACACGGAGACGCATTATGTATACTAGGAGGCTATACTCTCTGTCCCCTACGCTGCCCCATGCCCAAAAGGCACTTCTCACCCGCTGAGGCCCGCTTTTCGGGCTCCCGGCAGCTAGTTTAATTAGAGCGGGTTCACCAAGTGACTGTCCCCTATCGATAAATGAAAATATCACGAAAATTGGTCTCATAGGTCTTTTGAACGAACGTTGCCAAAAAATGAACATTTACACGGTTTAAATCGGAGAATCCGCAACTTTATCGCGTGATATAAAAAAATCTAGATCATACTTCAAAACTCTCAATAGAATGAGCACATTTAAAACCTATCGCCTGTTGATAACCGGAAAACCCGTGAATTTCGGCCCAGTAGAACGGTAGAACGAAGTGTGACAAAAAATGTAAATTTATAGGGAGTCAGAGAGCTCACAGTAATGATGATATTTTTTCATACTTCACGAGCTATCATAAAATAGACTACATTTTGCAAATTTGTGAGAAGCTTTTCAGTAGGGAAATTTATCAGGTTTCTTCAAAACATATTTTTTCAAACGTTCGTTATAGTTTCAGTTGCCCGCGAGTGCACCTCCATTGTGGATAGCATCTGCTCTGTTGAGATTAAAACCTCGATGTCAACGGAAAATTTTGGGGCCACTTTACCGAATCAAAAAGGGTGGGTGCTCAGGTCATTGAGTTTTGGGTTGCGTTTCAAGTAATATTAGCGATATTCTCTTAATATCTTAGGGTTATAGCATTGATACTACTGGTTGTGTATCTGATGTATTGTTTGGTTTACATAAATGTATATTCTTCATCTGAAGCAAAACACGAACGTACCGATTTTGTTGATTGACAAATATATCAACGTAATCACTTTCACCACTTCGTTCCTTGAATCGTACACAGGTTCTTTCTTCGTAGTGAGTCATGGCACTCATCAAAAGTTTGCACATCTTGGAGAATGGACAACCTTCAGAATCAAAATCAAAGGATTAGGGACATTTTATCTCACAAAAGTTTAGAGTTGTGTCACTTTCCGCAAAAATAACAATTAGAGGTTTTCTAAAAATGATTGGATATATGAATAAAAACATAAAGACACCTTGTGCTGGGTTATACCCAGGTCTTAGGAAAAGGTCTTGCACAAGGTCTCAAATAACATCTTCTTATGTACCCAAAATCTATTTTAAAACATTCATGGTAAACGAATCTTCGCTGTAAGTTGAACCCTGCTCCCCGCCCCAAATAAATAATACAATAAAGTAAAACAATAACGACCCTTAACGTTAAAATTTTATGAAATAGGATTGACAAACTATGAAAGAATTTTCTTTGCAGTTTTCTAATGCAGTTTAAAGAGGTAGGGGAGAGGAGGTTAAAATGCTGATGTTGCAATATATAACTTTATTGCATGGTAATTGAGGGACACTAATGTTTTTTTTTTTTTTTTTTTTTTTTTTTTTTTTAGGGAGTTTTGTGGCTTCTATTCCTTTTTTTTTACAAATCTTTAGGAATCTACAGCCATCTATAGACGCTATTTAATTGTCCTTAGACATCAGGGAGTTTAGTAGGCATCCATGCTCGGGCTTACAAATTTTCACGGATTAAGGCCGAGTGAATTCCACTTGCAGATCCACTCGTCAGTTCCACGGAAATTTGTCGCCATTTTAGGCTCGCAAATTTCCAGGGATTGAGGCCGAGCGAATTCTGCTTGCAGATCCACTCGTCAGTTCCATGAAAATGTGTCGCCACCACCGGGATTCGAACCCGGGACCTATTGCCCTAGAGTCAGACGCACTGACCACTAGGCCAACCTGGCCGGCTAATCTAATGGTTTGTAAATTGTTCAATCAAGGTTAAGTTCTCAGATAACTTAGATGTAGCGGAATTTACACGAGACACGTACNGTAGTGCGCGATTTGACTCACGTAGAGCTTTGAGTTTCTTGTGAGCGGGCAGTTCAAATCCCTCGTAACCAATGTGACATAAAAACGTTAATATTTTCGTTTGGAGTTTGTTTCATTAGTTTTCGTTGCGCAAATCGTGTTTTACGTGAAATTCTGGTTAAGAAACATGTATCAGAATGCTTGAATTCGTACCTTGTCTAGTGGTCCATTTACACGAGACACGTACCCACGGAAGGATCTATGCGATAAATAACGGCAGCTTTGGGCCATAACGCTTGTCTATTCTTGAAAGCTTTCTTACTCAGCTCCTATAAGAGACAAAATAAGTTCAGGAGTTATAATAAATTGTAGGAACATTCAGATTTTAAATAATAGAAAACATCATAGTGTGAATGTGAATACAATTAGAACTGAGGGGGACAAAAGAATGGACAAAAGGCACATCAACCTGAATTCATCCATCATCAGTCGGCTCTTTGGTGCGCACACTTATTTGCCTGTTGAATTGTGCCATTTTCTGATGTGACATTTGTCCTTTCTTTTGTTTTCCCAATTCTCATGAAAGGGACTTCATATATTCCAAAAATTCAAAATCCATCGGAAAAGTTGCGAGTAAGATTTAGGGGAATATGCGAAAACTTTTTAGCTTAGGTTTGACTTTAATACAATGGAAAAGTGACGAATGAATGTGATTTTTCGAATTCCGAGAAACGTAACCTAAGAGGTGAACACGATTGATCTTTTAAACACAATAATACGATGGCTGTAAAAAAAAACATAGAAAACCTTCAACCTAAGCAAATTAAAGTTCCGTCTTTCTTTTCATTTTAATACAGCGCAACTTTGAACGACAAAGTCTCATTGCTTCTTTTTTTTTAAAAAAAAGAAATACATTGAGCTTTTAAAGCACGACATGACGGCAGGCCTAAACTTTAAAAAAAATGATTCTGAAACGATGAAATTTTAGTTGGCACTTATACTGCGATATCTATATGAGTATCAGTATTCACAGAAATGAGGGTGACAATGTGACATACCGGTTGAGTGGCCGCGTAGTTTTCTGTGAACACTCGGTGCACACCCTCATCTTCCTCATGCGGGGGTGGAATCTTTGAGGGGTCAACGGGGGTTGCGTCACCGGTTTCAGAAGGGGCATGGGCTGTCTCACTCGAGTTATGATCTGTCTCGGCTGGGTCCACTGAGTCGTGAACGGTCTCGACCAAATCATGATCAGCTCCACCAGGCGGTGGTGCAGCAGCGCAATGCAAGCATATCGCTATTATACTCCATGACAGCAAAATCATACTCCGTGTTCTAAAATGGAGATAACTTAGATTTTAGCGGTGCGGTTGTACGATGAGTTAAAATCCTTGAGAAAACTTGTATGCATTGTACCAATTTTCAATCATCTGAAGTAATTTTTTCCAAAATTAGGTTTTAACAAAAACAACTCACGGTATGATTTTCTGTGATTTATGCCCTCGTAGATGGCCGATACTTCTACAGACCTACGTCTACTCTGAAATTAGTTCGAAGATTTTTAAAGAACTTATACAATATGATGCTGGTGCATCTTGATGCCGCAACTTTCGAAGACTGAAAGGCATCATTTTTGCAGCCTTACTAGTACAGCTCACGGTCTGAACTTTGGTAATGCTGTCAATTTCTCATTTTTCCTCATAACAGCAACATTGTACCCCTCCTCCAAATGTTGACGTGTCCCTAAATCACTGGACATGCATTAAACCACCATAAACATGGTCTTTTATGACCATTTTGAATGAAATTGCGCATATAGATTTTGAGATATTGATCTACACACATTTATTGGGACGTCGCGTCGGACAGAAAATGTTTCGAGTGGGTTTTCCAATATGGACACCCTAAAACACCAAAATATGAGGATTTCCAACATTTTTGTTTATTTTTGGATGATAATACCTTCATTACCCGCAAACAGAGCGAAAAATACAACTCTGATTTTCCGAATTGATAACATCTGAGAAGGAGTCAATCAACTCAAAACGCGCCTGCAGTTGTCTTCCTGATTGGCCGTACCTCATCTATAGTGTTGCACCAATTTGCATATCTGTTTGAGGGTAAATTGTGCTCAAAAATTCACTCTTAGAAGAAAAAGTTTCAAATGAGTATCTATGACAAGCGCGATATTCAATAGATTATTAAAGATCCCGTGAGCAAATATTGTCAAAAACGCAATGGAACAACTCCTCTCTCATTGAGGCTGAATGAAATCAAATTGTCTCATTTAGACTTCTATTTCTAAATTTTTTCGGGGTTTCGAATTCAAATTAAGAATACGCGCTAATTAATCTTTTAATTTGAAGCTGAAAAGCAAATAAATATTTAACGGTCAATACCTGCACCAATCGGGTCCACTCACTCTTCATCACAAGTACCGAACGACTGTTATTGACGTCATCCGTTGAAAGCTTTTAAAGTTCTGCGAACATGCGTGACTCAGTGTAAAACCCCCCTCTCCTTAAGGCTGAAATAAAAAATGATTCAAAAAGCGAAAAAAATACGGATTTCATCAGGTATATGTCACATGCTTGTCGCAAGGTTACTCGAACACGTAATGGATTTTTTTGCGCACTAAAAGAATTTCCACGGATAGATTTCTATGTATAGGATTACTCGCGTATGACACGTACGTTTTACTCTTGAGTGATGGTGCGCAATAGGAAAATGTGCTAGGAATTTTCTGCTATCGTTGAGGTAAGTATTGCGGTATGATTCAAGCTGAGGTTTAAGTGCGTAGCCCATTTGAAAGGCTGTTTTTTTCTGAAAAATTCACGTGTGTTTTTTCAATCCGCGACTGCAGTGTTGCTGGTTATTGCACACAAATGTGTGTATTTCAGTCAAAAAGATTTTTTGAATGACTCCTGAGGGAATGAAACTGGATGAGAGCACTGCACTGTTCAAAAAAAAAATCGTTTAACTATTAATTCGTTTCAAAGAAAAAAACAATGATTTGTTTTTTGTAAAATGTATGATATGTTTTATCACATTTTCATTCTGTGTTCCAGCAAAAAAGTATCAACTCGTTGGAGTAGTTTCGTTAATTTCTCAGTTCAGCATTCAGTAGCCATTATGTACTTTTTGGAAATGTCTTGGAAATTTTTCAAAAACGGATAACCGCCATTATTGTTTTTAAAAAAAATGTTATCATAATTTAAAACTTTTTTGGAGGTCTTAGAAAAAAACGTCCAAGAAAAAATAAACATACCTAATTTTGTTTATATATTCAAGTTCTTACATTATCTATACTCTTTTATGAAGCTGTTTGTGTGACCGGTTTTCCTTTTCATACATTAGATACCCCAAGTATGAGTGCCAGTGTTTGCTGTTCAGAGTCTTGATGCGTTTGTCAGTGCTTAAAAAGCGCCAAAAGTATTCCTGTCGCGCAAAAAAGAAAAATAAATAAAAAATGGAAGCATATAGTAATGTGAGTGCAAATATCGATGGTGAAACTGCAAATGTGCGTAACTCGATTTCTGACAGTTTTGAGTTAGCTGCATAAACAAGTTGTTGAAGATGTTTTCTATCTACCGACATCAGATTGTACATATAATCGGAAAAAAATCTGGAAGACATCAAAAACCGTAGAACTTTTTTTGCGTGGCTCGGGCTTAATTGCAGAAATGCGTTTCTCGTTATGGCGCCTGCATTTGATTCCGCGTGCCTCACGCACAACGCGCGCTCCTCGGCGTTTCCCACCTTCAAGATTTTCGCTCTCCTGAAAAATCATGTTTTCCGGGATACGCGCATTTCTACACTTTCTCCACCCATACGAAAATTTCCGAATAAAATTATTTGGATTACAATAAGGTTCTCTTGATGTGCAATAACCGATGATCCCCTAAAATTCCGGAGCAGTTATTTTTCTTTTAACAATATGACAACGTTTATGTCGTCCGGATTGAGATGAAAATTGGTTTCCGGGTTCAATTTTAATTGATGGACTCATATAGAGAGGAAATCCATTTTGCCCCTGGAAAATGGATTTCCTGGCATCAGGATGTCAGAGGTGTCTTACGTTCAAAATTTAACATCTATACTTAAAAAATGGAAATTCTCACTCCCAGTAGATTTTACCATTTTTTATAGTGAAAAAAATAGATGAATAACTATCAATCATCGTTGAAAATGACCGTGCATCCCATTTCATCTGTAAATATTCTCAGCGTATTAGGAGGTTACCTTTTGCTCATCGACTTGGAGAACTATAGTTTCTATTTATTCGTAAAAGCACCATTCTGCATGCGGAAACTGATGGCACAAATGTTGTTCCTAAATTAAGCCAGAAATAATACCTCTTCATCGCAAAATGCAGTCCAAATGCACGATAGCAGGTGCATTATTTCTGTGTCTACCGTAAGGCTAATTATGCAGCCTTTTAAAAAATAGGCAACGCATAAATTCCCGTGTTCTACGTGAAGTTATGATGAGGAAACATTTCTAGACGCTATTATACATTCATACACTTTCCTCTGGCCCATTTTTTGGCTTGGATTCAGCCCGCAACCGATCCGCCCCATGTATTTATACTCGATATTACAGTGAAAGTAGTGAAACAAGATTCATCTACCTCAGGGTCCTATTAATTTCTTTCTTTTTATGTCCTTCCGAGAAAACGTCTCAAAAACATTCTCGAGAGAGGCCACTAAAAGAAAAAGTGGAGGAGTTTCCAGAACATTCAGAGCTTTCCTCAAAACATCAAACGGCAAAATTTCTAAAGGACATCGGCTCCAAACATTGTTTCTCCGATGCGAAGATTGGATGTCAGCTAATGAACTGACGGACATAAACTTTGACAATTGTAGGGAAAAGAAAAATGGAGGGGACGAAACTTTTCTCATTACGCATTGTCGTTCGTTTAAGGTGGCCGGTAGCGTTGCTTATCTTAAAAAAGAAAAATCACAAGACATTCAAAGAGGAATAAACATCACTTTTTCCTCGAATGGTAGGTTTGATACGCGGAACGCAACCAACTTCAGTTCAGTGGCGTGGCGTGCTTTGCGATATATCGATTGATCTGCCATTTGGCCTTCGAAAAAGGATCGATAAACAGGGTATGCACAATGAGAACCTTAATAAGCGATTCTTTACCATAGCTTCAAATGGGGAAATATCGATAATCGATTATTTACGCGGAACGCAACCGACATCAGTTGCTGCCTCTCAACTTATTTATGAAAAAAGTAGCTAAATGGCGTCCTTTTCTATTGGTCATCTCATTCGTATAAAATAGTGCGACGTTCAGGAATAAAAATGTATTAATTTCTCTCCTTGAGGAGAGAAAAAATGAATATTCATTCTCCCCCCCCTCCCCATCATTCTCTTTGTAAAGATAAGTTGGAGATCATCCACAGTGTTGTGCAATTGACGCAAAAATAAAACAATCATACTTTTTAAACAATGCTTAAAAAGAACAATCAAATTAATTATTGGCCTTCAGGAGAGGCGGGTCCAGCAATTTGGCAACACCGAATTTCCTCTATTTGAACCTATGCTGAATAATCGATTCTTTTCGGAGCACCTGGCCCCACCAAGAATCGATACTGTTCCATAAGTTTAAATGGAGGAAATCCGGTGTTGCCAAATTGCTGAATCCACTCGTGTCCTTCATGTCGTGTTGAGTTGTGTTAGACTTCTGGTTGTAATGCCATAATTTCATCAGCAATTACGAATTTCGTTGGATTACCATTCTCTTTACCCTTACATTTAGACATATCTGAGTGAGTAAAGCCTCATCCGTGTTTTACAGAGAACGAATACTTAGGGGTACAATAAGGGCGCTCCTAAAATTTGGGTAGTACTTCGATTCAAGCGGATCAATGCTTGAGTATTGCATTTTATCTGTTTTAATTCATAGAAACAACTCGTTTAAAGATAAAAAGTACATGTGGTATAATGGAATACAAAACAAATAAAATAGTAAAATCTTGAAGAAACAAGTTTAGTGCTCGTTTATTTTGGAGTAGGTATAAAAAGAGAGACCAACGCGGTATCTCCTCGCTTATTTGCGCGAGTACATCCTTACCCAGCATTTACCACCACGTTCACAAATAATTTTCAGGCGACGAAATATGGTCCTCTGAGAACCGATGACGCGTGTAGGAAAATTCGTGCTTGACGCTTGCAGTAACGTGACGTGATTTTTAGAAACTTCTCCCCGCACAGTATGCTCAAAATATGCATTGTTCCTTTGATCCTGTGAAATGTTTGATGATTTTCCTCCGTTATGATGATGATTTTTTGCGATTGTGTAATATCATCTAGGTGGAGGGGAGGGAGGGGGGGTCGTAGTCCGCTAGTATGTGCGTGCATTTCTCTACGTTTAAGACTTCAACTTATAATTGTTTGACCTTGTGAAAGCTGAAAGGAAAGCGGTGAAATATATACAGATCTATGAATAAAATTAAAACAACCGGCACTGGAAAAAAAACACATTGGATCTAGAGTCTACATCCAATGTGTTTTTTTTTTTTTTTTTTTTTTTTTTTTTTTTCTAGTGAGCTCTTGCATGTGTGTTTTGATATCGATAGGTACGTTTACTTGAAGAACACACAGTTGACTAAACCACTAGCTTTAAGTTTTCTTTCATCATTTCATCAGGTAAAATTTTTAAATTTTTTTATTGATGACAAGGGATACGCCCATGAGCGCTTCGCGGTCCAATCCTCCGGGGCGCTTTCTTTCCTGCCGTGTTCGTTGCGCGTTTCTTTTATGATTACATTATTATATATAGAGGTTTTAGGACACTTTGTCGACGATTTCTTGTCCGCGCACTTTTTTTGTCCAGTAGTTTACGCCCACACTTAAAATAAGCAACGGTGACTTGGTTCAAGCGTTATATATTTTAGTCGGTATGTAAAATTATATTGACAATATAGAAATGAGAAATTGAGAGAGAGGGAGGTATTTTTATGGTTGCTCATTTTCTAAATGAAATGTTATTACTTTCTCCTTCTGAATTATCTTTTTAAATTGTCATTGGTGAATATTTGGTTTTATTTCCATCCTTAAAATATTCGATGTACAATATACCTTCAATGTGTATAGGTACTTTTTTATATTTTTTTAATTTTTTCTTTACGAAATTATTACTTTATTTTGAAAACATTTATATTTTTAAAACGTGACAAATATTTTTAAAACCTTTTCCAATCGATATTAATCTCAATAAGCCGCAGTTGTGCCGATAGAAACTGCAAAAATGAATAAAAGAGGGGAAAAAACCAAGAAACACGCGATCTTTAGTTTTAACCCATTTTTACATCGATCTTTTAGAGTCAAATACGTCAAATTTTGAGCGTTTGGTTGCGCGTACAGCAGCGTACACCTCGCTGCAGTACAATAAAAGCACAACATGTAAAAGAAAAAATTAAAGTGCTTTGGAAATCATTAAATTTGACACGGAACCACCAATATTTAAAAAACACACGTTACATTATTATTCTCCTTTGATAAATTGATACATATTTTTTTACAATCAATTTAAATGAGAGTAATCAATGCAGAATGTGCAGACATTTCAAAATCATGAGTTAAAAAACGCTGACTATGCGAGTAGAAATATGAAAGCCCAGCGCTAGAGGCTCACTGGCGCCTACAAACCTAAGTGGATACTTCACGCATTGCACAAAGCTTGAAGTATCCACTTAGGTTTGTAGGCGCCAATGCGCGTTTTGCGCTGGCCGCCCGCCCACCGTGCGGCGGCGCCTGAAGCAACTATTTCGCAACAGAGGTGTTGCACATTATTATGTAGAGGTTTATCCGGCTCAGGTATAACAAGGTGGAAATTTCTTGAAAGATAATTAAGTCCTGTTACACCAAAGAGGTGTAGAGAGTTTTAGTGAATTTTGTCTCATGGAATTGACGCTTCCCCATTTTTACCGAAACTCTCAACTACATACTATTCTCCGTTGGACCAAACAGACAAAACAAAAAAAAACAAGCAAACCCTCATTCTTCTAAGACATTTTACATTTTCATCCAAAAATGTCGTGAGCAATTGTCGTTTGTATTTACATGTGGGCCAATTAAATTTGGGTCTCAACTGGCACGTGGACCAAAACTCCCGTGCCGAAAAAACGCGTGGACGTAAATCACTGGAAAAAACAGGTGCGCGGACAAAAATCGTTGACGAAATGTCCTTTAACCTAAATAAAGTGTGGTTTTTTTAATTACAGAGTATGATTCGTCCAAAATAAGAAACAAAATAACATTAAGCATTGGAGACGGGTGTGAGTTTTGTAACTGCGACTTAAGTAATGTTGACGTACAGAATCAGACTCAAATGGACCGAGTTTACAGTGGCGTGGCGTACTTTGAGATAAAATCGATTCTTTACGCTTCAAATGGAATAATATCGATTGTCGATTATCAAGTGTTTCACGAACGCACCAAATCGTATGACGTTCGAACTGAGAAAATTGTGTTCTGAGTTTTATTCTTGCCCAGGGCTAAATACTGAACTACTATTTTCCTGTTCAAAAATTTTTTTCTCAAAATTGAATTTCTGGTAAAGTTCATCACTATGTGTCAAAATGTATCACTAGTGTCGTAGGCAATTAGTCAAATCGGGCATTTTGTCAAATGCTTAGGCAGATAGTCAGATTTTGACAATTTTGGAAATTTTGTAAATTAACGGCGATGAGGTCCCGAGTTTTCCATGTTTTGAATGTAAGAATTCATCAAATCTACGATTTCTTGTCTTTTCTTCTTAAAATAATTCTTATATACGCTAAAAATTTGAAAATTCTGTATTTCATGACATGCTGAGAATTTCAAGATAAATGTTCATTCAGGAGCTAAGAATCGTTTAAAATACTGTTCTGCGGCCCACAGCAAAAATGCCGTAACTCCATTCAAAATTGTGTTCCTTTCTTCCAGCACGCAATGTTCTATTACAAAAGAATTCAATGGGCCTGTTGCATGCAAGAGATACAACCGTGCGAATAGACTTTTTTGAGGTTAAATGACACGAAAATTACGATGGTCACATTAAAAAAGTCTGAAATACACTCCTTACTGCGCATTTTGCGTTGTGAGGAACGCGCTTTTTCAAATTTCCCGCGTCTGGGGGCAGTTTTCTAACGGAAACATTTAACGGCAACTCGCGGCTATTTCCGGTCAACTAAAACTGACAACATAACCTAAAAATCGGAGCTCATGATATCGTGAAATGAAATGTAGAAGGATTGCGCTGGATATTTAAAAGTTGATCGATTTGGTTACCGCATAAAGCGTATATGGACCACTATAAGAGATCACGTTGGGTTTGTAAACAAACTGAAGGAAAAAAATAACAACAACAACAACAACGACTCGGCATCTTCCATAAATCACCGAGCCCGCCGTTTGCTCGTTTCCGGTGATTAGAAAACTGCCCCCAGACGCGGGAAATTTGAAAAAGCGCGTTCCTGACAACGCAAATTGCGCAGTAAGGAGTGTATTTCAGACTTTTTTAATGTGACCATCGTAATTTTCGTGTCATTTAACCTCTTAAAAGTCTATTCGCGCGGCTGTATCTCTTGCATGCAACAGGCCCATTGCCACAAGGCTTGATTTTTCCATTTTTAGTTCCGAAACGTATGGTGGAGGTGTATCGAAAAAATTAAAGATGAATATTCGTTAAGTTTTTTGTAAAACAACATTTTGTCAGAAAAAAATGGGAAAAGTGTTGAATAAAGATTCGGCGTCTGTACTTTGGACGGTAGTATTGTAAGATGCATCTTTTCACAGAGAACTCTTTTTTACAAGAGCAATGCCTTATTCTCTCTGAAATTAGGAAAAGAAGCAAAATTTCAACCTGAGTAAGAATATTTGACTACCCTGACTTGCTAGGGGAAAACGCCGTATGAGCCACCAGACGTTGCCAAGTTTTCTTCGATAAAAACCGACTTCATCAGGAAAATTGTGAATATTTTCCTTAGAGTTTTCAGACAATTTTGCGCGCAATTGAATCTAAAATATCAGAAAATTTCAAGGAAAAGTATGCATGAATGTCGTCGTAAATACATGTTTTATCAAGAGAAATTTGGCAACTCTCGAATGTTCATACGGTGTTCTTCCTTAGCACGGCAGAACCTGCCTAGGCACTTGACTTTAATGCAGGAGCGGATCCAGCGATTCGGCAACCTCAACCCCCGGGTTTCCTCAATTTAAACCTATGTTAAATTATCGATTCTTGTCGGAGCACCTGGCCCATCGGGAAATCGATTCTTCTCCATGGGTTTAAATGGAGAAAAACAATGTTGCTAATTTTCTGGATCCGCCAATGCTTTAATGCCTGTTTTTGCTGGAAAGTATTTCCTTCCTCAATCAAGTCCTGCCTTATTTGCCTGCAACATAAGCATCATTTCATTATATCGGGTGGGACGCGATGAGGCACTTTGTTAAAGCAACAGTAGCTACAAACACTGATCCTGAAAAAACACCTGTATCGAGGCTGAGGCTTACAGCGGGTGGGTAGCGCGACGCTCCTCGGCGGGGCGCGGGACGGCGCGCGGGCGGGGTGGGAAGGCGCAGCGCGGAGCTTTAAAGAGGGTTTGCGCTAAGCTTTTGCGCTTTTGTACCTTCGACACTGGTTGGTCATTGCATCGCGAGCCTCCCTCAGTCATTCGAGTTTTGGCATCCCGCGCGCGCCTTCTCCGCTCACCTCTCGATCTGTCGTCGCCACGTGAGCATAAGCCTTGCAAGGGATCCGCAACATGCTCGAGATTTAAAATCCGGCATCAATCTCGATTTCTATTAAGGTTGACGCGTCATTCTCTATCCAGTCCCGGGGGTAAACTCTCCAGCGCCCGCACCATATGCGCACACTTGTTGATTCCCTGTCCCTCGCAGCCTCATCGCCAAGTCGGGCGTAGGTACGCCTGGAGAGTCGGGTTGGGTTAAAATGTTCATGTACACACAGTACTTCTATTTGAAGTATTTGTTCGAGAGTTAAAGCGCTTCTTCCGATTCTTTTCGTTCGCACGGTTGAGACTACCCTCGTTGCAATGCTGGTCCAGGTGTGGATTATCTGTGTCGGTGTTGGTGCGGTTTTCCATGGAGTCGATTGCTCGTAAGTACCTATCAGGCTACGCAACTTATTAGTCCTTACGTGTTTTTTATGTGGTATCATGCTCAGTTGAAAACTGGCTTCCGAAAATGAGAATTTAGTTTTTGGTATACACTGGAAAAAAAAACACATTGCATCTACAGTCCAGACTCTTAAAAACGTCGACAAGAAAAAGTACTCTTGATTCAATCAGAATCTAGCTTAAATCAAGAACCAAGCCTCTTAATTTGAGCAGATTTCGTTTTGATTCAAGTAAAAATCCGATTGAATCGAGAGTATTTTTTCTTGTCGATGTTTTCAAGAGTCTGGACTCTAGATCCAATGTGTTTTTTTTTCCAGTAATCGTCATTTTAAGGAAAAAATAAAGAAAATATTTAATTAAAATAGATAATATTGTAAAAATTATACGACTTGTGATCTTTTTAGAGTTCAAGCGTTCGCTAACCTTAGGTCTTTCTTTTTCGTGAACTTCAAGATTATGAGGAACTTTTCCAAGAAATATAGCATTGCTTTTTTGGAGCAGAAATAAAGTGTTCTCTGCTGTGCGACAAAGCAGAATATTTTAAGCAATACGTGCCGTCTTCCTAAAAATGTTTAAGGAATAATACTTTCAATAAGGTTTTACCTCTCTGATCAAATTCATGCGATACATCGTTCAGCGGATGGGTTTTTTTACATGGTCAGTGACGTATCTTATAAACGAAGCTGATCTAAAAAATTCACCAGGGTAACTAAAAGCAAAAAATCTCACCGCGGAGTAAAATGCAATCCTTTTTGTGTTCAAACTAAACGATCACATTCCAAAAATTCAAATATGCGTGATCAACTAGATGAGAAAACGCCCGATGACAATAGGATATCCAGCAGATTAATCACAGAACAACCATTCGACAGTTAGTTGCTATCGAGGCTCAAGACTAACACTGTCAAAAGTTTCAAATATTTTAAGGATGCGGAAGTATTGACGTAATTGAAACTAAAGAAAATTGAATTGTATTTTGCGTGTCATATTTTTAATGAGTATGGTTATTTTACAAATATGCCAGGTATGCCAGAACATGTTTGTTTTATCAAGCGGCTCTTCTGGCTTCACATGTTTTTAATGAGTCAAATTTCCAAACAAAGTACAAATCATTAAAACCCCAAAAACAAAAGAGAAAGAAATAGTTGTCACTGGCGGGTTAAAATAATTTTCACATACGTTTCCAAGATTAACATTCTTTCTACTTTTTAGTCTTAACAAACGTTCTTTTCGTATGAGAACTTCAAAGCGGAGTCTAGCTAATCCAGAAGTCTCATAGATCCAAAAATGTCCTCATCAAAATGGGGAATGTAACTATTATCCTCATTTTCTTTAAATCACAATCAAGTGTTCCGCTCAGGGGAGATTATCGACGCTTTACCATAAACAATTCTGAAAATAGCCGAGAGATTTGAAAAATATTTTTGGCAAGTATTTCAGTAAACTATTGTTTTTAACTTTGATAAAAGTTTATTCAGTAAAAATGATTTCACGCCATGTATTCTCTGCATATGAAAAAACACGAATGTATAATGAGAACGGAAAAACATAAATTTGAATAAATTATCAGATCTTGCAGTATAAAAGAGGCCAAAATTTGAAAATTAAAAAATAATCTGAAAAGTTTCATTTTTCCCCTCGCAAGAATAGAATAATTTTATGAATGTGAATGCAAGTCTTACATACTCTCCTCGGTTAAATAAAATGAGATATCGAGGAGGATCCTCCAAAACGTCATTCATTTTTCCCTGTAACCGAGCTGTTTATGGAAGAGGCTCAAAATAACTCGGAATTAGAAGCTTTTATCCAGTGAATCACCTCGATGGCCAAAGTGCGCTACCACGTATCTCCATTGCTGTTTTTAAAAATTCCAAATCCTGTTATATTTTTTCCAAGTAGAAATAGCCAACCTTTCATCTTAAAATTCATACAGAATATTCTGATGACGGAGATAAAAATCAAGTAAGTTTTTAAAAAATTTGAGTAGTTTCATTTGAAACTTCAAGTATGAAAAGAAGTCTACAACCTCGCAGACGGAAATACACGTGTTTTCACATGGTTTGCGAGGTTTCACACTTTTGCCATCGATTTATAATAGGGACCTCTTCAGGTAGTATATGTGGAGAGTGCGGGGTTCTTGGTGCGGCTGGTAACGATACTTAGTGGGAAGATGAGCTTCAAAAATGCCAATCTAAGCGCTGCTGGACTATTAGTGGACATAGTACATACAGCAATTTGAACTCGATCGAACTCATAATCAGCTCATGGAGTGAAAAATCACAAAGTGAGCACACGACGGAGAAACCTCGCTAGTGAGCCGTCATACTGCAGACCAAATCGATAACAGCGTATCTCCCCAACAACAAACCTTTGAATAAAAAAACATCTCATTAATTTGTAAAAACAATGGAAAATACGGCTACGGCCATATTTGTTATGAAAAGTAGATATCGTGGATGGTGTGAGGTGTTTTGATAACATTATGCCTCGCATATAAGCCACGCACCCGCGTTAGGATTGACCCAGTCATTTGCTCGCCACAAACTTCTTTTTATTTTGTATGTTGATAAGCTGTTTCCACGAATTCTCAAGTTCAAGTTTACACTCAAGAGCATTACCTTTACAATCTCCGACTTTAAACCCGGTCACTCTCGCAAGCTTCGCGTATTGCCCACTTGTTTTGTTCGTCAGCCGACGCGTGTCTTCCGATATCACATCTCGCTCATTAATTCATTATTTTAATGATGAGCTATTTTCACTTGAACGTATTTATGCCAAAACGAACTTTGTCTCATGCAAACCCTATGCACATAGTTCCTTTTAGCATAAATCCGTCCACTTGAAAGCAGTGCCCTTTCGTTATCCAGCACCTTTCAACCTGGATTTCGTAGAGGCTCCGCTTTGTGTTCAACCTAGAGTACCTAAATAGCGAGAATATGGAAGGATGTGAAACTCGGAAAATCCATCAGGCCTTCACCGATGCTTCTGCGAATAAAGTTAGGGCCCACAAATGCAGCCAGCCTATGAATTTCAATTATCCGGAACGATTTTTACTATTGTTACGAACCGTCGTTTATAAATCACGTTTTTGACTCAGTGTTTGCATAAATTTACTCATTTTTGCGGAAGAAGGCTCATTTCTGTACATTCTGGCCCATCTTGGTTAGAATTTGAATTTGCAGACTCTGCAGACTGGCGGCGAAATTTTGTGTGTTAGAAGTTGGTAAGAAGGATGGCTGCACTTTTGGGCCCTAAGACTTCCATAAAGCGATCTGTCCATACTCTGGCTACACAGGTACTCTAGTTCAACCGTATACCTAGATTCTCGCTCCTCGCATTTATTCAAGTTCTTCCCATTGAGTATCGTGTCCAGCCGTACCAAAAAACCCGCATTTTCCACCAACTTCACTTGGGCTGACCATCGGGTTTCTCGTAAATTTTCTATCTGAAACCCTCGCGGGGAAAATGAACAAGAGAGCATGGAATGGGTGCATTGCATCGCTTTAATCTACGACCCGTTTGCAATTGCCACGCCGATGCACGCGCTTTTAATCAAGGCTCAACTTGGACTCAGAATTCCAGCCATTCCGCTCTAATGAACAGCTCTGCCGAGCTGAGCAAGAACGCCGTATGAACCTTCAGGCGTTGCCAAATTTCTTTCGATAAAACACGACTTTCCCGTCAAAATTATGAATATTTTTCCTTCAATTTTCCGGATAATTTTGTTCTCGATTTCGACCATAGTCTCTGAAAATTTCAGGGAAAAATATTCATAAATTTCCCCAAAAATAAACATTTCAGTGAAGGAAATTTGGCAACTCTCGAATGTTCATACGGTGTTTTTTCTTAGCACGGCAGAGCTTCTGAACGAAAAATCCGCCGCACCTTTCGGCTTTAGTGTCGCTGCATCCGTGCTTCAGCGTCAAACAGTTTTCATACCATAGTTACATTGCAAATATTTTGAGCATTTTTCATCGACGGACTGATCCCTGCAAGCTTGTGAGGGACACACGAAATACACACTCGCCAGGGGCGCCAAAATTTCCCGCGTATCCGTTTCTCTCAAATAGCAAACACACATTAGAATGTACTGCACGGTGTCCCAGATCACCCGCACCAGGTGTTTTGCAGTGGCTTGGCGTGAATAGTGATATATCCATTGTTATGCTATTTAAACCCATGGTAAAGAATCGATTATTAAAGTGTTCGCTACGAACATTCTGTTTATCGATCCTTTTCCATGGGTTTAAATGGCCGATCAATCGATATTATCGCAAAGCACGCCACGCCACTGGTGTTTTACTACTTATCAGTGGCCAGGCGTGAATGATCAATTAGCGATATTTCCCTATTAGAAGCTATGGACAAGAATCGATTATTAAGGTATTCGTTACGAGCATCCTGTTTATAGATCCTTTTCCGAAGTTTCGGTAGCAGATCAATCAATATATCGCAAAGCACACCACGCCACTGCTATTTATTTCAGATTGGATCAAGTCGGGGAGTAAAGAGAATCTTTATCCTTTAAGAGGTAAGAACCCCAGCGGGCTGATTATTGAAATTGATAGACAAAGCTATAGACAAAGAAGACACGGGGAGTACGGAGCGATCCTATCGATTGAAGTAGGTGGTTCTTTTAGATTAAGAGGGTAAATGATGGACCAACTGGGCGACGGCAAACTGCCACCCGGGTGGCAGTTTTCAAGAAATTTGTATGAAAACTGCCACCCGTATAAATTTGAAAACTGCCACCGGTAGTGAAAACTGCCACCCGTGTTTTGACAACTGCCACCCACATGAATTTCGGCGCACAGAGGGTCGAAGCGGTATTATGGGAAGACTGATTGTGAATCTCAAGCCAGGAGATGTAGAAATAATAAGATAATGTCGTGCACAATCAGTTTGTGGGTTAGGACTCACAATCAGTGGAACGTCCGAGTGAAGAAGATAATGTCTGTTTACAAGTAGTTTGTGGGTTAGG